CCCCCCCCCCCCCCCATACCCTCACCCCCCAAAAAAGGGGAGACTTAAAACAACTTAATGTAAGTTGCAAGTTTTAGAGCGTGACAGTAACTCGACTTAGTTCTTCATATGCTGTCACACACTGGCGTGACATCCAAAGAATGATTTCACACGCTAGTGTGCTGCGACTTTTAAAATGCACACAGTACCTCCCTCCGGTGTCCAGACGTGAGTATATTTTGTGAATCCTCCCCAAGTGCCATTCACCAAACCTTTCCGTATACGAAAGAAATACTGTGTGTATAATCTAAGACCACGTACGGTAACATTGTTTGTGGTACCAGAGACAACCATGGAGGACTCGTCGGAATTCGCCCTCCATCTTAGTTCAAAAACAGTGTCATTTGATGGAGATGTCACTTCCCAAGCCAACTTTACTCCTCTATCGCCAGTCACGTAACCCACAAAGTTACCAGGTGGTGAGAGGTCAAAAGCTGAAATTTCCCAACAAAAAAAGATCATCAAGTTTTATATGGAAAATGCCATAAAACCCTCTAAAATGTAGATTTACTTGGTACTTCGTATATGCCTGATTATTTCGATGTCGCTTATTGTTCGCATCAACTGCGCTTGCTCAGCTACAATCGCTTAACACTTTAACTCCTTACACCCTAAAATCAGTATGCATATTCTCCATACTGTTCTCTTAGCATTTTCTACAATGCCGACATGAAGAATTTGTCTAACAATCAAGGGCTTCTTTAGTTGGTGATCAGCTCCTTTATTCTCCTGACCTTCATATTTGATTCAGCCGTAATATGGTAGGGAGAAATTAGGCGCCGGTCACTCTTGGGGGTTGAAGGGTTAATCCCTAACATTACTCTGCACACTCTCCATCCTAGATACTGTTCTCTATACGTTTCTTGAGGTGCTGAGAATGAGAATGTGTCTGACAATCAAGAGCTCCTTCACCTGGTGATCATTTTCTTTTATATCCATGCGATTCATAGGTGATACGAAATTAGATGCTTGTCACTCTTAGAGTCTTAAGGGATAATTAACTTTTATACACATTTACCGACCGATCGGTCGATCGCGACCAAATGGTAGCGTCAGGTAAATTATAGTTCAGTTGTCTTTTGCTCATATCTCTGATTCTTCAAAATTCCTTGACAGCTCACGCAGTGCAAGACTCAAGCTCTCGACTGACGCTGAATTCTCAGTAAGGTCACTTTAAGACAAACTAATTATGACCTGCTAAGGCCGAACACGAGAGAGTGTTAAACATTTTTTTAAGCTACATATTGCGTTTCAGTTAAGCGTATTAGGCGAAATAAATATGTTTCATCAGTTGATACCTCTCACCAGCACAACATGACCTGGTTTATCCTCCATGAGTCATTTCAACTATAGGAGTACAAGCTTTCAAAATTTCGGAATCCAAATGTTACCTAAAACACGGTTAACGATGCAGACTATGTAATAAAACAACATAAATTACTTTCTCGGGCATAGTTTTGGTCCCGAGTCAATAGGCAAGGGTTTAAACGACTCTGAGTCGTGCCCTAAAACTGTCACTTTGGAGAGCATTGAGAGAAAAAAAATAACAACGAAACAGTCTCAACAATCAAGGGAGGGCGCGAGCGGGCTAACAGCCAAAATCTCTATTTTAGCCCGCAAAATGCGTCACAATGCCCGTCAAAGAGATAATAATAAGAAGGCAAACACACTAGCACTTTGCTTCATTAAAAAGGTGAAACTGTTTTTTCACAGCATTACATAAATTTTAACGCGATCGTCACTCTCTAATGAAGCACGTCGTACAAATTGAAATTGCATTTTCTTTCACTGCTTTGAGATTTTGAGATGATCACTGAGGCCAAAATGAGTTATAAAGCCTAGTTTTGGAATTAATATATACAAAACAGTTTCTCGCAAGGATTTGTTGCAACCTCTTTTTTTCTAGATTGTGCTGGCCGTAATTGCAATCAGATCTCGCTTGAAAACATGAGTTTAGGCTTTGATAGGCAAATTGTCGCCGACAGACTTCCATGCGTGACTTTCATGAAGATTATCCTCTACCGAAAGAGGACTGGTTATGAGTAAGTTGCGAATTAGAAACACAGAGGTATTTTACGAGATTAACCTAGTGTTCGGTTATTTTTTTAAACGGATAAATGCTGCTAATTCGTCCTGTTACAGAACAAGTTTTTCATTATTTCTCGTGATGGTTTATGAATTTCTCGACATATTTGCATTAGCTATCGATATCCAAAATATGACGTGCCAAAACCGCAAAATAAGGCACGCAAACAACAAACCTTTTTATTGTTAAACAAATTCTCCTTGTCAGTACTTCAGAATACGTATTGAGAGCGGTATGGAGAATATGCATACTGATGTTAGAGTTAAACGAGAAAATATTTAAAAGCAATATGTTAACCAGATGTCTATTTACACCCCATCTCTCCAAATATGTAAATTAAATTAACACCATTAATTTTCACTCGTAGACTTTAACCCTCTATCTTCCATGAGCGACCAAAAAAGAATTTCTTCTTACAATATCAATACACTATCAAGCAGACAAGAGATGAGAATATAGAAAAATATCAGTTGGGTGTTATAAGTTGATCCAATACCAAACTCTCCAAACTAACATCACAAGAACTAAATGGAAGACAGTACGGAGAATTACTTATAAGATCTTGAGAGTAAGAACTTGACCCCGTTTCTGATTAATGACATCTCATCTCCTTCGCGATTTTCAAAACTACCACCGAATTCTCAGCGTTCCTGGTCAAACAAGATAATCGTCGAGATCTTAAGACGCTAATCTGGCCGCCTCAGCGAGTGTCAGAGAATTTTCGTGCGCACGTGAAACCAGCCTGTTACTCGTCACTCAGTTACAATACAAAGTCGACCCGCTGCGAGTTTCCTGAATTTACCAGAAAATGATAAGGAACTTTTGCGCTCGGTAGCCCTTCGGCAAAATTACTTTCAGATAACGTCAATCTCCCTTGGATGGGGTTTTATAGGGATTCTTCGCCCTCAGGAACAAACACAGTCAAACTACACAAAGTAGTACACTCGCTTAGTATTGTCACGCAACGCTTTAAGAGATGGTGTTGCGTGACAAGATCTTCCTTAATCCCCCAACCTATCCCAATCGAACACACCTTAATTAAGACTGTTAGGACCTTTATTTAGAACTGCTACACTGATGTTTTCCGTACCCTTTATACCAAAATTCAACTAACGTCATTGCTAATATGCGAAACTTATTCAAAAGTTATTTTCAAATCAAACCAGCGTATAACTACTCAAAAAAATTGTTGACGGATGCTTTTCACAGTTCTTTTTTCCTAATAAGATTTAGGTTTATAGAACAAGTTGACCTACATTTTTTTTAAGATGTGAGATCAACCATTTTATTCCTGAGAGTGACTAGAATCAAATTTCTCCTCACAGTAGTATCCCTAAATTAATCATTGAGGATGTGAAAAAAAGGAGAATGATCGCCGATTTAAAAAGCTCTTGATCATCACACAAATTCTCTCTTTCGTTTCCCTAAGAAATGTTTAGATAATAGTACGGAGAATGAGCATATTAATGTTAGGATGTAAAGGGTGAAAGGGGCAAATATTTTCTCTGCCTTCATACTTGAAATTGTAAAGCAATACACCCCAGTTAATGTCAAAATGCAAGCAACGTAAACCATGTGGGCATAAACCAAACAATCAGATCGCCAAACGTGCTCTGGAAGAAATATTATATTTGCTTTTTCCTAACGATCGGCTAATGATTAAACTAACAGACGAAACAACAGATGTTTACTTTGAAAGCAAGAACTAAAGACAATTGGAAAGATTGAAACGGAAAGATAAACATTACTGAAGGGTTTGTAACACTCACTAAATCGGGATAATGGAAAGTTTTTGTTGAAATCTAAAAACAACAAGTAAAAAATGAAAGCTGTAGAATTTGAAGTGACATTCGCAAATTCCTTCGTGATTACGCTAAGAACGGTAGGCTTGTGGCTGAGAAACCTGATGCTTCACACTATTATTACTAGGGATAAGCTGTTCTTTTCTTTTCCTGGGTATGGTGTTATGAACAAAGCTGTTTATACAATCCAACGGCCAAATTGCTCCAGTTAAATACGTGTAATTGGTTTGGTGAGGAAAAAAACACCGCCGGTTGTATGAAGATAAGAAAACGTGTAGAATAAACTTCTGCCCTGATTGCGAGAATGGTTTGACGTTAATTAATTTTTTTGAAGAGACGTTTGATATTATTAGATTGTAGAATCATCACGTCAGAGGCTAAAGCCCCATGTACAAGTTATATTCCCTACTGTACAACCGTAAAGTGGTTATTTAACGCATAACGCTTCTGTTTGCAAGCTAGCAGCGGAAGCAGTAATGAACGCAGTATGTTCTCTCACTTACCATTCACAGCCACTGTAATCCACAGCATGTGAAGGATAAGCCAAAAACGGTACATCTTCCTTGAATCTTGTCTTTAGGGATTGACTTCGATGCCTACCAGCGCGCAATCCTTACAACTGTCAGAACACGCACCAATATCGAGCATCACATCATGCGAAGACTTGTACACAAGCCATGCGTCAGTAGCACTATCCTAAACGTTTCAGCACAGAGGAAACCTGTTGAGGATACCAGTTCTCAGATGCCCAGTTCCTTTTCCCAGGTCAAGAGCAATTCACGGATTAATTTTTTCCTGTAGTGCAATGAGTTTGATCAACATGCCTTGTGTCAACTGCAGCTCTGTTTAGAGTTGAGTTTCCAATTAGGTGGTATATGACACCACAATTAGACTATCAGCTTACAGTTAACTGGTGAGAGTGCCTTTTACCGCTGTAAATTAACTAACCACGCGATTGTTTATAAACACACGCTGCTGTTCTTTTGCTATCTCATTAAGTCTCCAGGCAGGAGGCAGCAGTACCTGAGCTCCACAAGAAAAAGACAACGCGCTCTGCTTGAGATGATAGCAAACACCTCAAAGCTTGTTAACGAGTCCACTGTATTCTCCTAGTGAACCAAGCCTCGAGACCATTCTGACATGACAGGATATATCTGTTTAAAGCAGTTTGAGAGACGCTTTACTGTTTTGATTTCTCTCTTCGTTAATCTTTGGTATTTGCGGTTTTTTAACCACTCAATTGCGGCATGGAGCTTTGATGTTAGGGATCTAACACGTTACAGCCTGTTTTGGCTCAACTGGCTTTTCTCTCTCTTAGGGAAAAAAAAAAGAAAAAATATGAGTAACATCCTACTTCTGTAGCCCAGGTCTAGGCGAATCTCTTTCAGTCTAATTTTTTTATGAAATAACATACAATAAAATTCAGCACTAAGAACTTTGGGAAATATATAAAATAAACACTCTCGATGTGTTATTTCGTCATCTTCTTCTTCTTTTCATTTGGAACATTTTCAGTCTCAGCCCAAAACTCCTTAAACTTAAAAACTCTTCTTTAGTTTCCTTTTAACATGAAGAAAGCCAAAAAAAAAAAAGGATATTCAGTACGAATAACCTTAGAACTAACAAGATGTACAATGGAAGATTAGTTTTTTATATATTGTATTAAGATAATCGCGGTAGAGAAAGGGAAATTAATCTACGGAGAGTTTAAGATCATCCTTTTAACATAGCTCATGAGATCGCCAAATTTTTAGAAGGCCAGAGAAACAGTATGCACGTTTTTGCCCTGTTTTTATTTTTGTTGCTGAAAGATATGGATCCGTAGGCTAAACCGAATGATAAGCATTTCACCCTGTTTTGTCTAAAGAGAAAGACTTTTAGGTGGGTGTCCACTAAATTTTCCAGACTTGAAGTTCAAATCGGAGATAAAAATCTAACTCTTTGAGGGAAATTAATTACTGTCGGCTGGTCATTGAGCGAAAACACATCGTGTCATTTTAGACCCTATCTTATCAGCTGAAAACTGCCGCAAAAAAGTTGACAGGACAGCAGCTTCAAGGACTTAATTATCACTTTCATCTGAAAAAATCAATTAATGTCCACCCCGCGACTGAACGAGAGCAAAACACGGGTATTAAGGGGGATACTCAACGTTATCAGTCCAAGGAACTGACACAGGAATCCCTAAAAATAACAGAAACAATGATCTTGCTCGTCACAAGGAATCAATTAGTGTCTCACACTGATAAGAAAACAGGTGTGGCCATGATATCTTGCGACTATGCCCCACTATCTTTGAATCTTAACACAACAGCAGTCTTCGATAACACAAATTGAATTTCGTTGACAAAAATTACTTCAATGTCGGAAATCATAACACAATTGTATTTGTTTTCGAGTTGTTTGGGTGAATTGTCAATAATACCCATGCTTCTTTTGTTTGACATGTGTACAAAGTTTATTTTTCCCCCCAAACAGCAGAATACAAAACATTTATCCAGCTGACAGAAAGTCATGTCGCACATAAATGATAACAAATGATGCGCGAGCTTGTACAGAGCTGTTGTTTTAATGTTACAAGAGCGTCGCTTTTTCCGGTCGGAAAGAATTATAACGAGCTTTATTCTGTAATTTGTAGTAATCCAAGCCGTTTCAGAAGCTGAATTATTGCTGATTAGCCTTGAATTTTCACCCTATTTTCTGTAACTTAGCCAGGATGTAAGTTTAAAACGTACGATCTTAGATAACCTACTGCCCTGCGGAAAGGATTTTTGTAACACAACACGCACTCTGCGGTATGATCTTTCTCGCATATTTCACGGGTCATCACAATCAAATTTCCCGAATTAGTTCTTTGATTAGAGATGAATGCTGCGAAGGAAATGACTAGAATGGATAAGCCATTTCCGTAGATCAATCACATTTCCTGTTAGATTTTGAAGATTTTAGCCTACAATGCACCATATTCTGCTGCAAAGATCACAAAAAAAATCATCAGCGGGGTCAAAGGGAACTGTGATGGGCGAACAAACCCAATTTGCAACTCATTTTCACACATTTTTGCGACGCGCTACACTTCATTATTGATGAAAACCGTGCATGACAGATAAAAAGTCACAACAAGTTACGTAACCTTCAAAAAGAACATTAAAAATTTGATCTTGAACAATCGACGGAAATTATTAAAAACAAGAGTTAAGCCCAGATACACCAGCAAGTCGTGCAAATATTTAAATGTATTTTTTGCCCGTATTTTATCATTTATTGGCGGAAGACGACTGTTCATAAAAGCTGCGTCCTTATTAACAAGCAAGAGCTCGCTAAATCCATGTATCGCACGGGGTGAAGAATGTTATTTTGGCAAGGTTGGGTTTCTAACTCACAAATTTTCATTTAACTTTTTGGCTTGTCCGAATCGTCCCCAATCGTCTAAAAAAGGTGCGCGGCGTGCGGAGAAAGAGGTGAGGGAAAGACGACTGGGAGCAAGTCAGGGTTTCAGCTTTATTATGCTCCGAGAAACAAAGTCAAGATTAGATTGTTAATAAAAGAATAGATTAAGGAACAAAGGTCGGATGTTAGGCTATTCAAAGGTATGAAAAAAGATGAAGATATTACTTTAAAACCCGTTACCCTCAACAAGGAGAGGAGACCTAGAAAAAACCTAAATATGACGGATCAAGTCACGGGTTCGGAACCAAATCTCTTTAATTAAAAAAATGACATTAAATAAGCACTAATTTATATAATTCCTCTACGATCCTGCTAATTCAGGGCATACAGATTTACCTTCCAATATCCATTCATTAGCTTCGGTTGGCCCTAAAGTAATACTGTAGATATTAAGCTCTTTATGTAATAGCTTTTTTATAAAATATACTTTTAGACATGCTTTTCCATTCATCAATTACTGTTAAACATAACGAGCTTTTGTCGTATCTTATCGTGGACTCTATCTGTGTTATAAATATCTATCTCCTCAAATAGTTTCATAGATAATTTTTCCTTAAGAAAAAATGTAACCTAGAGTAAAATTTGACTTGAATTTTGTCCACAGTTTAATCTAAATATGTAACATATAGCCAGCAACACACACAACTAGCTTTTCTTTGCAGTTGTTTTTTTTTTTTAAAAAATCTATAATTTGTGTGTTAAGTATACAAGTAGTTTGACTATGTGGCTATACGTCTGCATTGAATTGAAAAATATTATAAAAAAATATTATCTTTTTAACAACGTACAAAAGAGATCAAAATTTTCAGAACGCTTGGTTATTTGCCAGCAATTCTTGAGCTGAGTTCGCACGTTCTGACTTACTTCGATGTTCATTTTGCAATTTTGGGTTACAAGAAATGTTTCAGTACTTTTTGATAAGAAAGGAATTCAAACTTAATAAATTTATCCTCAACTGCTGTGCAAGATAACTGACTTACAAACAAGTTGATTGTACATCCGATTAACTGATGACTAACAGACCGCTCAACCAACCGATTCATTCAGACTGACCACTGAACTAAGTAACTAACCCATTCAGTAGTCCGACCGGCTCACCATGACGGACTTGCTAACTGACTACCTTGCTGACCGACCGACAGTTCGACCAACAAACACACTCACAGACCGCTCAACTGACCGATTCACTCAGACTGACGAACTAAGTAACTAACTACTGCTTTTACTGACCATTTAACCATCGTAGCGATGCCGCCGCACAATAAGGACCACTACTGCTTTACGATCCTTGAATGAATTTGAATAGGGCCTCATTGGGGTGATGGCTTTTACGTCTAACGCTTAAAAAGTTTAGCCATTTTACGGCGACGGTTAACACAAAATGAAATAAAATGACACATTGCAGACAGCAAAAATTTTTTATGGTTAACATTAAATACCGCTTACGGCTAATAGTTAACCCCATTGAGACCCTCCCTAACCCTTTAACTCCCGAGATCTCATTACTAACTCTCCTTACTGTCTGCTATACAGTTCTTGTGACATTGCTTTGGAGAATTTGGTATTGGATCAACTTATAATCCCCTGTTTGGTATTTTTCTTTATTCTCATCACTTGCCAGCCTAATATTGTGCTGATATTGTACTGATATTGTACTGATATTGTAAGGAGAAATTCTGTCTTGGTCACTCATGGGAGTTAAAGGGTTAAATAGAACCTGAAAACTCCTTTACATAGGATAGCTTTTTGTAAACTTAAAAACTTTCGCAATTTTTTGCAATTTTCTAGAGTTTTTCTTTTTTTAAGTTTAACTGTAGAGATCTATGAAATATGCTATATTGTAGAAAGTAGGTTAAATATTTATCTCTTTCATATTATAAAGCACTTAGGGGCTTACAAGAAGCGCTATGTAAATTGTAACTATCATTTGTATCGAGCAGCAATTTACTACTAACAACTATTTCAAGTTGACGCTTCAACAATCTGCAAAGTTTGAGTAGGCGTTAAAAGAATCCAGGTAGGCTAAAATTGTCTTGTAACAGAAAACATAACGATCCTGAAAAATAAAAATTAAATAAAAAGAAATAAAATAGAGTACGTGATTGGGAAACGCTGTTCATAGAGTACAAAATTTAAAAGTTGAAGGTCCAGTGCAGTTTACGTCCGCAATGAAAATACTGTTTCATAGACATCCATACTCTCCATACATGATATCATCCACAAACGAATTCACTAAAAATTTCTTTACAATTCTTTATAATTCACGATGAAAATACAGCACGCGCTTAAAATTTAGTCCAGGGAACGGACGTTCTAGGGACGATGTTTTCATGAGAGAGAAAGAGAGATAGAAAGAGAGAGTTCATTGTGTATAGTATTTATATATAAAAAATAACATCTCATATTTTGCCAAATTTCTTGATTCTTGTATGTTGATCAACGTAACAAAAACTTTGTGGTTAAAATTGTACCCGTTCCCACGATTACAAACGAAAGCCAAAAAAATGTAGACAGTGATTCAACTGGTCTACAACGTAGTAATAAAAATAAGTTACATCCAGGCCAACAAGTAGGATTTTGCCCTTATATCATCCCTTTATAAAGATAAAATGTGAACAAAAATGGTGCTAATCTTACCAGAGTGTTCACAGCACCAGGCCTTTTAGCCCGAATCAGTTTAATGGTTTGGAAAACATCAACAGTTTGTTCAATCTTGACTCGTTCGATCACTGACATTATGGAAGCTACACAGCCGCTGCGACCAATACCATCACTACAAAAGTAGTAACATTACCATTGCGTTATTATCAAATATAAGAAGAATTTTACATGGAAATTGAAAATTGAACCCCGCTCGATGAAAACAACTTTAATCAGATACAATGACGTCTCCATCATGGTTACTTACTCTGCACCCTGGACGAAATGAAAATGAGCAAGACTTTTACACTAATTAACATGTTCAAAATGTAATTCCAAATCCAGAACAGTTGTGATCAAGAGATCAAGGAATTAGCGCACTAAAGTCGCTCATGATAGTTTCATTACGTTCCTTCCAAATCAATCCAAAATCCATCACCTGTTCTCAAGTGACCTTCCAAAGACGTAAAGTGATAGTTTCAATTTGTACTCTGCACAATGATGCAGACACTAGCAGATAGTGGTAGACTTAAAAATCTTCCTTTTACCTGCACTGGAAAACTATGGCGCCATTTCCTGATTGTTGCTGAGACTGTTGCACAGCGGTCAATAGGTCGATTATTTCCTTGGAGTCTGGGCACGAGTCTCCGTTGACCCACCCTGTAAAGTTGATATGCTGTACAGTTGTTGTCTTCTGGGGAGGCTGAGGAAGGAAGTTGAATTGTACTTAAAAGCTGTGACTTGAAACAGTCCTAAAGCTATTTCAAGTGCAGCTCATTCACAAGTGATCACTCTATATTGCATATATCATGAACCGTCGTCAGCATCAATATCATAAATGTCATTATCATAACTAAAATGTTATCATAAATTCAACTTGATCTAAGCCAAGCATGGAAGTTACACAACAAGATAGCTCAATTACGTATCATGGAAGTTACACATCGCGATATCTCAATTATGTGTGATCACCTCTGAATCACTATTTAGATATATTGTCATTATCATCATCGTCATAATCATTATTAGCAAAAAAAATTATCATTTCAAGAACATGATCTTGACTTCTACGTATATCGACAATGGATAAAGTCACAGAGATACTTTCGTCCAACGCTAAATCTTAAGATCATCAAAGCAGTATAACACTCCTAGATGAGTCTCACCTCATTATTTGTTATACTAAATCGTCTTGAGGTGATGTTGTTTGAGGTATTTTCCGACAAAAGTTGTACTGTGATGGCTCCATGCCTGGCTGATCCTAGACCCGGCCAATATTGTGGGTAGTTCTACGAAAGATAAAACAAAAGAAATGCAGTAACTGTCAGGTCGTTCATTCCACCAACGAAGACATGTGAAATAGTTTGTAACCTTAATTTCTCTTGCAGAAAGAATCGCTCTCTGGTGTTTAACTGCACCCCTATTTGGTTACAAATGAATAAATAAGGAGTTTTTAAAGAAACTGTGGTGCTGCGTCGGTGGGAGACTATAACAGGGAAATTTGGTTTTATCAACTGAGTTGACAACGTAAATTGGCCTCTGTAAAGAGTTTCAAAGCTGACGTTTCGAGCGTTAGCCCTTCGTCAGAGCGAATGAAACTCTTTACGGTCAATTTACGTTATCAATCCAGTTGATAATACTAAATTATCCTTTTCTGTAACAACTTTCGTTGCTTACAGTTTCCTTTTGGAGCAACAATGCAAGACGGAGTCCAAAACACGTGTACTCGTTTTTATAATATTATTCTTGAAGATTCATCGGATATCTTTAGAGATTACTAAACTGCTTATTGAAAGAAGTTGCTCTTCTGTTAGAATTATAGATGAAATACCTGTTTTCCTTCCTTCAAGTTATTCAACATCACAACTGTACCAATGTTATACTGTGATGTCATCCGCCAGAAATCTCCTATAGTGTTGTCTAATGGAGCTTGAGTCAGAATATATGCGTTACGTTCCTTGTAGTCCTGGTAACGGACGAAACGAGATCAAGATCTAGGAAGGATTAGTTCTAGAACCTATCCGCGTTTACATCACGGCACGAACCCCACAAGAATCTAAGTTTTAAAGTTTTGAAACCCTTTCTATAGTAATTTTTAGTTAATAAATTGAATCTCCAGCTAGATTTCTAGGAAACTAGAGGGTACACTTGTCTCGTAACTTTTGTAAAAGCCCTTATTAAACGACAAATATGTCTTATTAACCTTAATGTAACATTTCCAATGCTAAACTATGGCTCTTAATTAAGTGTCAGAAACAGCGCTTTTTAGTTTAGTGAACCAAAATCAGACTATTCACAACAGCAAACCAGAAAAGAATAAATTTGATTTGTTAATAGGGTGGCACGTGTTTTCTAAACTGATTGACTGGACTGAAATATAACTGATATACTTACATCAACAAACGAAGCATTGATGTAATCTTGGTCTGGTTGAGTGGACATCAAGCGGACTCGAGCAGTATCCACTGGCGAATAAAAAAACAAACCGCAACCATACTTAATAGATAAATGACCTTCCTTTTTTTTTTTTTTAAAAAGAGAAAAATAGACCAAGCAACAAGCACTATCAACTCCTGACCGTGACTTTTGGATTGCAATGGGCAACGCTTTTAAATTAATTTTATACCTGACTTAAGAACTATATTAATTATGGTTATACAGGAAATTTAATATTATGAAGATTGCTAAACAAGACACCACTTACACGGAAGAATATTGGGAAACCTGTTCTTGTCGATGTTCGAAGGTTGAGAGGCTGTTGTTGTTTCTTCTTCAGAAGACAAACAGTCAGTGACAAATTGCAGACGCTAAAAGACAAACAATGTTTACTGCTGTATTATTGTCGAGAGAACATTATTTTCTCTTGGCATCATATGTGAAATAACAAATAAAGGAACCTCTCCCTTATCAGTCAACTCTCAATAAACAGGCATTTTCTTAAAAACCAATACATGAGAAGTTCTCAAGTAATGCAAATTGAATTCCATCATGTAACAAGAGTGAACTTCACGTGACACAAAAGCGATAGCATGTAACACTTTCGTTGTAAAAGTGCTGCTAATGTTACTCCATGTAAAAATGATGAAAAACTCAAGTCTTCAGATCAGGATTTCACTGAGAGATCATTGTGTTTAAGTGAAATGTAAGATAGTCTCCGTTTACCTTAAACTCCGCGCCAAAACCAGTGTTTTTAGAAGGTGAAGCAGCTCTAGATAGTTTGTTAATCGATATTCGTAAGTCCTGAGGAGCAATCTCTGTATTCCCACAGGTCAACGCTTCCACCACAGCCTGATGCAAAAAGACATACTGATCCTACAAAGAAACACAAAGTCGTTAACCCATGAATAACCATTTTACATACCTATACGCAATATAATTCATCAAATCTGGTCTCCGATACTTACGTCTTTTTGAACCATATGAGGACGGGATCTACGCATCACTTGCACATAATTACTAATGAACACAGTTTTAATCTTCTCGGCACCCTCCAACATGGCATCAATGGCAATGTACGTACCAGTTCGACCAACACCAGCACTAAATATAAAGAGGAGATGCTTTGTAAGAATTTAGAACGAAGATCTAAGGGCAGCCTTAATGCCTCCCTCCCCTTGAAAGTTATAGGGGTACGCAGAAAAAAAGACGGATTAAAGTAAAGGGCAGGGTTTGTGGTCCGAACGAAGGCTGCCACAATTCCGCTAGACGGGGAAGGTAGTATTGAATATCTACTAGCCTTGATATATTTTTGGCTTATTTAGGCTCTAGTGTGTAAACATATCTGTATTTTCGGAATAAAACTTTAGACCCCCTCCGTTCAAAAATTTCTGGATCCGCCCCGGAGACAGGAACGGTCCATTTTTTCCAGCCATTTCTTAGGATAAAAGAAGGAATCAAGTCAGATAAATCCAGTGAAGGGGGTACCATAATACCTACTTGCATTATTTCACAAAAAGGCACGGAAAAAGGAAAAGTTTAGCTGTTTCTTCATCTTCGTTTTCTTCGCCGACTACAGCTGAGCGTCATCTCTTGTCTTACGACTCTGCATTACTAATCATAGATTACTCGGCAAAAGCTTAATTGCAAAATTTCCAACAAGAACTGAACTTAGGGCATGGGATAACGCCATTTAAGAAGTAACAACCTTTAGCTATCTACCTGCAATGCACAACAAGTGGTCCACCAGTGGCCTGGTGTCGAGTATGAATCTTATATCTAAATCCAAGCAAAGCTGAAGAACGCGCAGGAACACCTCGATCTGGCCAAGTAAGGTAATGATACTGCTGTACCTCACGTTTCTCTGAGTCCTGAAAATCAAACTCAAGTGTTTGGATAACAGCTGTGATTGTGGACATTTAAATACGAACATGACACTCTAAGCTGGTGTAATAAACATGTTTCGGCAGATGCGTCTGCTATCTTCAATGTATGTTGAAAAGTGAAGAATTAACAACAGTAACTAAGAAAAGTATCTGCCGACGCGTTGTTCGTAAATTAGTTAAAATATAGAAGATAAATCATAAAATGCAGAGCAAAGTATCTGTAAGTCTTCTTACCTTGACAAGTATAAATGTCCGAATAATGTAATCGGCAAACACTGCAGTCTTGTGTAGAGTAACTGTGATGGCTCCAAGCTTAGAATTACTCTCTGGCCAATATTGCTCACACTTGGTCTGAAAAGTAATACATT